AACTGCCCAGTCATCTGGACTACTGAACTAAGCTCCTTGCATAGTGCAAGCATATTTCTGTTGGCTGTGGGAAAAGGATACAGGTGATTGTGGAAACCATTTTCATCAAGCAGCTGTATGCAGAACTACACAGTACCTATGTGCAGATAGGTGTGCTTCCAATAACAGAGTGATCTTTCTGTAGTGCAAGTGGACAGTTGGGATGATACACATACGTTGCCTAAGAGATTGCCCCAGAGGCAAGATATCATTATGTGCTATGCACGTCCTTAAAATTGTAGTACTCTGGGTCATAAGTTATCCTTATCTGGGGTATTGAGAACGTGACCCAGAGTACCACAACTGTACGTGCTTCTATTACATGGTTCTTCAGTCTGAGACAGAGCTGATTCATGGTTTAGGTGTCTTTTGGATCCCTCAGGCTGCAGTCATTTAACTGGTGATTCAAGGATCATAAATCTAATAGGCAAAGGCAGTCATAAATACACTCTGAGTTCAAAGGGAACAGAGTTCCAACCAGTAGCTTGAGTTCACAGGGCAAGGTGCTGTTTGTCATCAGCATTAGGCAAGGTTGTAGTTTCCAAGAAAACTTCATAGCAAGAGCTAAATACTGAATTACGTTATTTATACTAAAATACAAGGTGTGGCTATAATGGAGAGTTGTTCCAATACAAGACTGCATTCAGACGGGACCTTAAATTCAGGAAAGTCTCCACTTGAATACAGCTGGCATTGATCAATCCTTATTTCTAGTACTAGTCTGTTCCCATGTAGACTTGTCTGTGCTAGGTGTTTCTCTGTTGAGCCAAGTATCTGTGCCTTCCTGCTCTCTAACTCTACAAGATAATTGGAGTATTCCCATGGGTTGGGTTTATCAGACTTTGGTTCAAGGTTTGAATTACAAGGGCCAAAGTCATGAATTACAAGGGCCTCATATTATCTTACCATTGTTGTTAGGATCAGGACTCTTCCTTATTTCCTCATCTTGATTCCACTCCTCTGAGGATGACTCCATTAACCAGGAACATGACAAGATGTATTTGGAAAGTGATTATGCTTTCTGGGCCTCTCCTCTGGTGAGAGTCTTGGGTATCCAAAGCAAGATGGTACTTGTTTTCATTGTGGTTATGACTAGTTGGATATTCTGCAGTATCTATATATCTCAATGAGTTCTACTAAAGCTTTCTTGATATGGATATGTAGCATGATGCTATTCCAATAGAAGAAAAGCAGAACTATGATGGCTACAGCTGCTTAACCCTGGAAGTTTCCATGCCAATTTATGTTGGACTATTACTACCACTTTCCTCATGGTTACTTGAATGGGATAAGTACTTACAGATGTCATGAATAATTCTCTTATGCATCCTTTGCCTGATTATTTCAGTACTGCTACTCATTCTAATACATGCTTTCACCTGTATTTTAAATTTAACAGCCATAAAATGTACACTTAAATTACATTGTAAATATTTGTGATATTATTAGTTATAGTTGCTATTATTACTTATAGCAAAATGCTGTGTTTGATGCATTTGTGGAATGGAACAATCTTAATTGATCATACTACTTGATGAGTACACACATTTCTCTTCTGGGAATGTCACCTTTCTTTCCTAGCAGGGCAACAAATTGGTGAAAAACTGGCACTTACATGTAAGTATGGGATAGTGCTTAGTTAATTTCTTAGAAAAAATGTCCCTATACACTGCTTAGCTGCAGATTTCCAAGTCATGAGCACCCTCTGTTAGGGGATAGGATGTTTGGAGAAAAACTGTAGGGTCAGTGATGAGAAATAAATAAACATATCCCTCTCCATCTATAGTTTTTGCTGTGTAATCCCTCCATAAATCAAAGACTGTTGGAGTCAAGAAACCTGACGGATGGTCTTTGAAGGAGGAAAATTGATTTTGCTTGGCTACTAGCATTTTGAGCTATATTTGGAAGAGCTACAGATATTTCTATATCCTGTTTTTGAGACAATTTCAATATGAGTGGAGAGGATTACCATATATATTCATTTGAACCTGATTTGTCCCTTTTATTTTTCTAATTGTGAAAATAATTGTGCAATTTATTGTGTTTTATGCTTCAGCATTCAACTAGGTATTTGCATAATTCTCCATCTACATTTTCTGTTTATCACCTTCTCAAGTGCTTACATGGAAAATGCAACTGGAAATTTATGAGTCATACAAGAGAAAGTGATTGTTGTTGTTAATCAAGAGTTGCAAGATATAGCAGTATATAAATTTAATACATGAGTAAGAGAAAGGTTAGCTTTCTGAGAAAAATCATCTGGAATTCTTATTGCAGTATGGTGCCAGTGATGACCAACATCCTCTCAGACATTTGTCTTCACATCTGTCAGATTGAGCTGCACCAGATTTTTGGCATCATCTTTACTTCCAAAAATGCTGCATGTACCATTTAGGCATTATTGGAAAATAGAAATGGTGAACAGTTGCAGCGCAGTGCTCTGTAAGATTGCTCACCCACCCAGAAAAATGATAAATCCAGGCTGGGATGATGGAAGGCATTCTAGCACTCTAGAAATAGTTTTGATTGAGAGCAGCTTCATCAGTTTCCCTTTCTGGCAATGGTTTTCTCTTTTCACAAATTCTAAAATGACACATAGAAATGTATTGGAGGAAAGTTTTCAATGTCATACTAACTGAATCCTCTATATTAATATGGAATAAAACATAACACATTTTTCCATATCTACTCAGAAATAAGCCCTACTGAATTTAGTAGTACCCCAGAGGTCCATGTATCGCCCATCCTGATGTTATTCTGGAAGTCTTTTAAAAAGTTGGCTGGTCTCCCAGGCCTTGGATTAGGCTATGGAGCCCTGTCAGTGGTGTGTGTGTATTTCTTAATACAGGATATGATTGTCTGGATTCTTCAGGTTTTTCTCTTCACTGTTTTTTTACTATAGGCTGCCCAGCATTGGGCGGCCTCTAAGAATCAATCTCAATCTCAATCTCAATCTCAATCTATCTCTCTCCCTCCCTCCCTCCCTCCCTCCCTCATAGTCTCTGTTACACAGTTACAGCATTGTTTTTGGACATTCATTTGTGGAGTCCTTGGGGTTCTCTGAGCTTGGTTCTTTTCTTGCAAACGTTTCATTACCCAGCTAGGTAACGTCTTCAGTGCAGACATTCATTTAAAAATAATTGATGATCATTTGCAAGAGAGGTGGTGAAACATACAATGCAGTAATACTAGAGTTGGTACCTATTTAAATATGGTTTGATTCTGATGAAATGATCTTAGATAAGGAATATTTTTAGCCCTTATAAAGCATTCTGATAAACAACATTCAGCCATGTTCAGGGGGATGCGGGAAATTTGCTACTGGGAAGAAGAAGAAGAGGAGATGTTAGAGGGAATATATTATTCTTAACTGTACTTATGAAAATGCTATTTATTCATGGAATCTTTACTAGTTACTTTTTATAATACATATTTTTTAGACTGTAACTTAATTTATTAAGTCTTTTTTTAAGTTAAACCTGCAATACTGTACCTGGAAATAAGGCCTGGTGAACTTGGTTGAAAACTTAAGCTCCATTTAAATTCTGATAAAAATAGATATAGAGTTGTACTGTTATTTAGCAGAATTTTAGTGACTTAAATTTGTAAGTATCTAAGTATACATCATAAAAAATGAAATAGAAAAATGTAATATTTTAAAACTGTATTTTCCCCCAAAGCTGACCAGGAAGAAAGGGGTAAACCAAGGAATTGGCTGTGCCTCAATAAAGATGCAGAGTTTGTGTAGTAGAGTTTTCCTCAACAGCCTATGGCTGCTGTTATTACTCAAATTGTATTATGGACATTTTATAATTCTTTGAGTTTTTAAAACGTGTGTGTGTGTGTACACACACACAATTTGTATACTTATACTTGGTATAGTTGTGTAAAATGAAAGTACAGGTTTTTAGCCTGGAATCATCTAGCAATATTATTGGAGGATCAAATTGCTTAAAGTTCCTTTTGTAGTCATCTACCTGTTGTGATTGAAAACTGAAGTTTGTACATCATCACTTGTGATACTTGAAGTTTGTAAGAGATTGTGAATTTTCAGTTGTCCAGTTTATAAGAAAAGAAATGACTACAACTTTGAATTCAAATAATGGTTTCTTTTTCTCTTTCGTGGGAGTTAATTTTAAAAAGTAAATAGCAATTCTTTTAATGACTGAAGGTGGCATTCTTATTAAAAGTTATGGTATTGTTGATATATCAAATTGTCATTAGCTACATTCAAATACAATGCTAAACAGAGGTTTAGCATTAGGAGACTAATGTGTGCAAGGAAGAGATCAGATGCTTCTGTTTCAGATTAGTTAAATTACAGTGTAGTGTTATTTTCCAGTTCTGAGCTATGGTTTATTTTAAGTATGATTTGTTAAACTATAAAACCATGAATTCTTTACATGCTTGTATTATTTAAGTAGCCCATAATGAAGATTAATCATAGTTATCTAAGGTTGAATGTAACAGTCTTTGAGGGGGAATCAAACTCTTATTTCTATATCATGTGGGAGAAGGCAAAAAAGGCACGAATCCTTGTTTTCCTTTCCCCTTATGTCTTGTTACAAATACTGGGGAAGGGAGAAGAACCAACATATTTACTATTTTTGCTAGCTGAAACCCAGCAAGATATAAAATTCAGTGCTACATGGCCAAAGACTCTAAACATACTAGTAACATGGAACTAGTAAAAGTCACAAATAATAGATGTCTAGGATACTAAGCAGAAAATGTACATGCTTGTTTTATATTATCATGCTTTGGAGAGAAAGGACCAACTTCGGAAGCAAATACCTCATTAATGGTGTTGCTTGATCTGGGTATTATTAAATAAAATGTTTATTTTCTATATATCATAAGGACAGGAATTCATGTTAAATTACATTTAAATAGCTAAAATGCCATTTTGAATAGTTTTTTAGCAGTTAATTCTCTGTTGTTGCTTTTACTTTCTTTTTTAGAAATACAAAGAAAAGGATAAGCATAAACAAAAACATAAGAAGCAAACAGATTCCTCACCATCCTTGGTTCCTTCTCTCACTGTAACTACAGAGAAAGTAAGTGAATTTTTCTTGTACCTTTTGTTGAAATTATGTCTACATTCTTGATGTTTATGAAATGAGGATTTCTATAGTTACCAAACTTTATTACAGAGCTCTGTTGATAATAAATGGTGCTTTTGATTAAATAGTTGTGATAGACATTTGTGATATAATAAACTTGATTTTTAAATTGTTAATTGTTAACAAGAATAAATGTGTATTTTTTTCTATTGGATCTTTCTACAGAAGAACTATACAGCATAGAACAATTGAAATAAAATAGAAATTTTAAATAAATGCTGAAGTGCAAGCACCTTTAAACTAAAACTAAATTTGATTTTACGTCCTCAACATTCAGCAACCATTTGAAATTATGATGTCGCTGAAAAAAGTGACGTATGACCAGTCCTTGCACTTATGACCATTGCAGCGTCCCCATGGTCACATGATCAAAATTCAGGTGCTTGGCAACCGGCATGTGTTTATGATGGTTGTAGTGTCCTGGGGTCACATGCAACCTTCCCAGCTGGCTTCTGACAAGCAAAGTCAATGGGGAACTGCATGAGTCACTTAATGACTGCATGATTCACTTAACTACATGATTCATTTAACAACCACTGCAAAAAATGTTGTAAAATTCGGTGCAGTCACATGACGCCTCACTTAATCCACCGCTTAGCAATAAATTTTCCAGTCCCTATTGTGGTCGTAAGTCAAGGACTACCTGTATATTGTCTGTAAATAGAAGCCCCATAAAAATATTTTCCATTCTGGTAATTTCCAGAGCAGATGGCTAGCCTGCTCTTACCTGGTATAAAGAAATAAATAAAAGTATTGTCTGTTAACAAGAATAAGAAATAGATAAAACCACTGTGTGTTAATATTTTCTGTTGTTCACACTTCTATCCATCATGCCTTTTTTGCAGTTCTATAGCTTTTTAAAATCACAAGTATTTATTTTCATATTTCAGTTTTGATGACATTTGGTGATTTAACTCCCAGTTTGGAACTGTGCAAAATTTCTAGTGTTCTATATGTACTTTGATAATAGTTCATAAAATGGCACTGTATCCAAAAGTAGTATTTGGTATTTCACACTCCAAGTAGCAAAAACTATTTAAAAAACAAGAATTTTTGATGGTACATACTTTTATTATTACAAGTGGCAATTAATAATACATTCAGAAAAACAAACTGTTGGACCATTTGTTTAATATTGAAAAATTCAAGGAAAAAATACTGAACTGTAGGAAGAATAAGTGTGTAATATTCCGATCTAGACTTAGTTGTTGATGCTGGCAAGTTGTATAACTTATTTGAACATGTCTGTGTCAGTAACTGGTTAGGAGGTGAGTGATCATGATTAAGATCATATGGAATAACATTAACTCTCTCCCCTTTTGTCCTCAGTTTTGAGAAAAAAATCTTTGGGACTCTGCTATTGATATGAGTGGTAGCTAGTGAAGGGTTTGTTGAAAATGGAGGCACAAGCAGTGTTAACCATTACTTTTTGTTCCTTAAGCTACCTACCCATAATTCTCTATGCCAGCCTGCTAGTTATCAAAGAAAATAATTAAACACATTAATTGAACTACCATTTAAGACACCTAGTCTTTTCTTCCATTGTAAAATAGATGTTATAGGATAAAGTGTTTTGAATAAAAAACAAAATAATCCCCACTTCAAAGAGTGTTGAAGTTTGATTTGATTCCTCAAGGCATAAGGGAAGAAAGAATTTCCTAAGACATTGTCAGAATCCTAAATTATCTCAGGAAAACCTGAAGAAGAAAAGGTACAATGAATCTGGCTTTAGATAATAATCTCTCTCCCCACAGACATCTGGAACACTACAACTTCCACTTTTATCTCATATGGATTTTTGTCATAATTGATTAGGGTTTGTTTTTTTAAATGATGAAATAGAATGTTGTTTCTAATAAACAGAACGGTTGCAGTTTACTTCACAAAGCAGATCAAATAATACCAGACTGTATTTTATAATAAATTAATATACTGACCTTAAACCACATAGTTTCCAAGACAATTCACAACAGAAACAGTACAAAACAGAGCAAGATAGTAAAATAATACCAGTAATTAGAAGTGGATTTATTTAATTATAGTTTTAAAAGGGAGTATTTGCTATTTTTCAGGCAAATAGGTGTCAGGCAAATCTCTTTTCAAAGGGAGTTCTAAAACTAAGAAGTCAGTATTAAAAAAAGAAACCCTGTGGTTGCTATTGTTTCATGTTAAATGCCAGGGTCTAGTCCCAGTTAGAAGGTGAGCTAGAACCTTCTAACTGGGACTAACTGTAGAAATCTTTATAGAAATCTAACTTTCTTTAAGGGAGGCTACATGTAGAATTGCAGTAGTCTAGCCCAGGGATGTGCTCCTTTTTTTAAGACCAAGAACCACCTTAGTGACCAAATTCTAAAAAGTGATAAAAGCCAGGACAAAAACATCATTCCATTTGATGTTGCTGAAGGGGAAGCCATTGCAGAGGAACATCTCCAGCCTGTTTATTCATATGTCAGAGCACTTTAAGGCATCTTTAGAGAGCTTTTCAGATCCTTGCCTATATTTGCAAATTTTTATCAGCTTAATATTACATGTAATTTGGTGTGTTTGCTTTAGGCGTTACGATCTGTAAAAGTAGTGCTCAAGTTTTTTAAAATTTTTCATCTTGATTGTTGCCAAAAGAGAAAAGAGTAAAGTTAATTTCAGATGCTAATTTTTAAATGTCAGATGATAATGCAGTTTCATAGATGTGCTGTGAGATGCCAGTGTGTAAATAACGATGGTATTTTATAATGTTATATTTTCTAATGTAAGCCAGAGTCATTTTAAAAATTAAAAGGCTCTTTCAGGGTAGATGTTTTTTGGTTTTATACACACTTTTATTTGCAAAGTTAAGGTATGAACCCCATTTGCTGCTGTGCTGCTTAAATTAAAATAATGCATTCTTTTCTTCTTTTCCTTTCGCTTTAGTCAACACATGCAATTCAATAGTAGTAGAGGTTTAAGGCACAGCACTTAAAAACACATGTTAGTGACAAAGGAAAACAGGAAATGAAGCTTTTTGGTTTGTATCATTGATTGTAACATTGGAGAAGAAGAGGTTTTCAGAACCTTTCAATAAGTAAAGAGCAAAAGAATGTAATTCAGTAGGAGCTGGTTTTACAGGTACTGCTGAGACACCAATTAAGTGTAATTTAAGTATAAGGGCAGGTTAATATGTACACTGCCACTGATTGCTGCAGAGCCATGTGTCAGTTCCTTGTGGTCTAACTGTCTCTCTCAACTTCCCCTTTCCCAATTCAATACTGTTAGACTTACACAAGCACTACCAACAACTCTATGACAGGGTCATTGAAGAGGCTGGAAGATACCACAGCTCGCTTTACAAATGCAAATTTCCAGGAAGTCTCTGCACATGGTTCAAGTGGCAAAGATGTTTCAGAGGCCAGAGGTTCAGAGAGCAAAGGGAAGAAGTCAGCGGGTCATAATTCAGGTCAAAGGGGAAGAAAGCCTGGTGCTGGAAGGACTCCTGGAGCTGCAGTGTCGGCAACTTGTACTTTTCAACAAGGTATTATTGAAGGGTACTCTATTACTTCCTTCAGTGCCAACTGGTAAATAAATTTAAAATGATAAATTTGGATAAAATATACTTTTCATATTTAGTATATAAAACAGTAGCTTCAGAACTTCTCTGGAGAAGCTAGCAGCAGCAAAATGTCAGCATATGCTCAGTAGCTTACACGGCACTACCCAGAAGTAATTACCCCAAGAAATAAGGTGAAAACTATACTCTATTAATATAAGAGTTGTATTTTATGCTAATTTATGTGGGAGAAAATATTTTGGGAAACAGTATATCAAAGAAAATACTGATTGTTTTCTTCATAAGTTAGTTGAATATATTAGTAGTACTGACAAGAATAATTTCCAGTAGAAATTGAATTCTTTGGTTTTCCTGGAATGGATTTTATAGATGAAAAAGACAATTTTCTAAGTTTGTTTGGATGTTATTTCCTATTATCTTTGCTGTAATGTGTTTTACATGTAATGAATTGTATTCGTTAATTCTATCCAAAATCTGGTGTATTACATTTTCCTTTTGATTTAAGTGTAGGTCTAATCGACAAAGAGCAATTTTCAAATCATGCTTGATCTTAATTGCCCAATCTAGATATCATGGGAAACTCTGGTGAGAGTTTAGTGGAGGACCCAGTCCCTGGGTAAGAGGGAGAGTATTTGTTGGGGGGGGGGATCTCTTTGTGTTTGGCCCCTGATCTTTGTACTGTCTAGACAGGACACAACAGAGACATAAAATAAGGACAAGTTACTGCTTGTTTTCACTTTCCCAGATTTATCCTGACCTCTTTCTTTCATGTTTTCTCTGCCCAAAGAATCAGTGACTGGAAGAGACATGATTTTGAAGGTCTTTTGTTGGTATGCTAGCTTAAAAAAATAATATTAGGAAAAGTTCTCAATTAGCAATAATCACGCCTCAGATTAACCTCATTGACTATGATATTGCCACTGCACTAATTGCTGCACTAATAATATTAGCAGTAATATCAAAAGTAGAGCTTTAGTGACTAGTTACAAAACTTGCCAAGAAAGTCCTCTAAATTGTAACCTTTTAAATACTGTTGCTCTGAACCATGTAAATATGTAACAAAATGAGATTTGGTTAATCCTGGAAAACAGACAAAGTGCTTCTACTCTTACCTATGCTACATTCATGTCCAGAGTTTCCCGAATGGTTCAAAGTTCACAATGCCCGTAAAAAAATTGCTTTTAATACCATACTTACATATTTGCTAATAGGGTAAATGTCTGTTTTCAACAATCAACAACCCCTTCCCATCTCTTTTCTCCAGGAAGTTTTTTGGGAACTCCAAACAGTACAAAGTCATCCTCTGGAAGTTCAGTTCAATCTCCCCAGGATTTTTTGAGTTTTACAGATTCGGATCTACGTAATGACAGCTATACTCATTCTCAGCAGACATTGTCAACCAAAGATGTATATAAAGGAGAGATTGGAAGCCAGGAAGGTGGTGTGAATTGTTTTACTTCCTTAATTAATCTTCCTTCAACCTCAACTGTTGCCTCCCAGCCTAATATTTTTGACAGTTCACCTGGAGAGTTAGGTAGCTCAAACCTTACATCCACAGGATACAAACGTGCTCAGTCCTCTGGGACAGAAGATGAGACTATAAAGGAAAAGAAACGGAAAGGAAATAAGCAATGTAAACATGGGCCTGGTCGGCCCAAAGGAAATAAAAGTCAGGAGAGTATTTCCCACCTATCAGTTTGTTCAGCCTCCCCAACATCATCAGTAGCATCTGCTGCAGGAAGTGTAACAAGCTCAAATCTGCAGAAGTCTCCAACATTGCTAAGGAATGGAAGTCTCCAAAGCCTCAGTGTGGGTTCCTCTCCTATTGGTTCAGGTAGGCATTTAGTGTTATTTTAGAAGACACATGTTTTAATTTAGTTTTACTTCACCATAATATCATCACTGGCATTTGGTTCCACTCTCTGTTCTAACCTAAGTTTCATGGAAAATAATTTCCTTTAATGAAAAGTTAAATGAGTTAAAAGCTAAATGAGAATTGTTGTCAAGTTTTTCTCTTTATTGCTGCTTACCACATGATGCACTCACTTTACATCTGTGGTTCTTGTTTACTAGAGGTGAGCACTGCTTCAGTTCCAATAGGAGAAAGGTGTTTTGGATCACATATGGGAGCCTACATAGCATATGTCAACAACTCCTTAAACCAAACCATCTTTTTCTAGAATTGAGATCCTAGGAAGACACAGTAGTTTTAAGGAGTTCCTGGCATGTGCTGTGTGAGCGCCCCCACGTGCCCCAAAGCGCCTTTTTCTCCTTTAATCTGAAGTGCTGCACTGTCCTGCTCACTACAGGCATGTAGTGAGACAAGAGGGAGAGACAATTGATACTTTCACAAATTAGTACTTACTTGTATTTTTTGTCAAATCGAAATAACATGTCATATTGATTATGGAAGATTATCAATAGTAGCATAATCATGAAGAGATTAGTTTGAAATATTACATAATTGAACCACTAATACTCTTGAATGCCTAGCACTAATTGTGATAATTTAATAATTGGAACATTTGGTGAGGTGAGAGCAATCTGTTTCAAAACAGAAACTTTTTGCATACCTCTGTAACTTGGTTTATTTTATACAAAAGCTATCTAAGAATGATTGAAAAAAAGTGGAAAACCTTAAAGAGATCATTTACTTATTACTGTAAAGTAAAACCATAGATGAATAAATTAAAAAATCCCAACATGTTCAATATTTTTGTTACATTTTTAAATCATATACTGGAGCAAAGTATTGAAGTTAATTTAGCTAAGTGTTCCTACCCATTCAACCTTACATTTCACACACTTGCTGTCCTTCAGTGCTCTATTTTGTTCCTTCCTCATCAATGCAACATGTATGGATTTCAGATCTTATTTTAAAATCGGAGAATGTAAGAGCTGAAAGTGATCTTGGAGATAATTTAGTCCATCCACTAATAAGGCCAAAATCTAATAAGAATTTTCTCATAATACTGCCTGTAAAAGTACAAACTAACTTAAATATTAGGTGGATAACATTTCATGTTTGTGCTGTTAGACTATCACCATATAATAAACAATAAATTTTTAAAAATTGTACTGATATCTGTAACTGAAGAGTTAGTTCCTCACTAAATCTAGAAAATACTAAAAAAACAACAACAGTGAGTCATTGATGTTGATAGAAATGGGAAGTTTTACAATTCTGGAAATTAATTGTTTCAGAAAATTAAATTATTAATGTGAAGAATGACTATGATACCGATCAAATTGGGCAGCTGGAATGGATGAAATTCTAGTCCAATTTAAAAGCAAGTTGTTAAATGTTTTCCAGGTGACTCTTAGGAAACAGTATTTGCTCACAAAACTTTATAGACATGCTCAGGAGAAACAAATCAAAATCCTTCATTTGGGTGACACTGAAACAAACTGGACAGAATGTAATGAGTGGAAATGATCACTACACTATACATCAGTATACTGCTCTTTCCTCCTGCTAAGCTAAATGACAGTCTGCCGGGTCCTACAATTGCAGTTGCATGGATATCCGGAAGCTATTGCTAATCTAGTATATTAATGCTTGTGTGAAGGGGAAAGCAAAGTAGCTACTTATGCATAATCATCCAGAATGTATGACTGTGTAAACAGTTTTGAGGTCCTTCAATTTTTTTAAGTTTTAAGTTTAAGAGAGGTTTATGCTTTTAAGTTGCTATATTTAATATAGTTTGAATTCTGTGTTTTGAATGTTTTTGGATGTAATATGTGAAATAACTTAAGTATATCTCATTGATTTTATATTCCTCTTAATAAAAATATTTCAGTTCACCTCATTTTGATTTTTGAAAGAATTATTTGACAAATTTTCCCCAAAGCAGATTCTGCATCAGTTTAAGATGATAGAGATTTTTACAGAAAAGGTTTTCTAAAAAAGCATTTTTAATGGGAAAAAAGTGCAAAGTAGTTGCATGAGGCAATAGCTATTTGAATTCCTTTCTCATGCTGGTGAAATGTGTGGATATAGTGTAATTGGAGCAAGCAAGAGAGTTTGTTTTGAGACACACCATTTCCTTTTCTCTAGAAGAGGGCAGTCAACAGCATTGTGGTGTGACTTTTTAAGTCACTGTCCTTCCTGAATGTGCTGTTTCTTCCTTAAAATTGCAACTGTTTCCCTAGTAGGTGTAACGGTTTCTTTCTTTCTTTTTTTTTTTTTAAAAAGAATGATTTAAATATCCTGTGCCTTTGAGTTGTCTCAGACTATTCTTGTTCTAGTTAGTTTAGCTGTTACTCAAATTTTTAAAATATTTCTGCCCACAGTTAGTTTCAGGAAATCACTCTTTCCTGTTCTTCCTTAACAATTTTTGAACACAAAGTATTTTAAGTATAAGTTTTTTTCTGAAAAATACTTGTGATAGTTATGTCTGTCACGCTACAATTTTTCCTTATTTATTTTCAGTCAGAATGTTCAAGTACCTGTACATTAGGTGCTTACAGTGAAGGAGTTCTTATTCATTATCTGAAATAATCTCTTCACATACTTAGAGATTTGTTAATAGCAATCTTTATAATTAAAATTTATTGGAAATAATGGATGTCACAGAGTAGTGCGCGCAGTCTAATTTGTTTATAATGTTCAGACAATTAAAATTATTTTTCCTTCAGAGAACTTACATGTACAAATGATAACATGGGTATATATGATACATACAAACTTAGCTTAATATGGGGGGTGGTGGTCTTAGCCATTGACATAGGCTATAGAGAACATATGATGATATGTCACCAGAGGGACTAAGTTGGAGATGTTTGATATCTTTTCTTCAGTGGGAGGACACATGTTGGGTTGCTTTGTAAAATAAATCTGGTACATTAAAGTTCTTGCATGTGCCTATTTTACTGTTGCTGCAATTTGCCAGCATTTCTCAGACCACAGAAAAGTGACTTGGAACCTCATGTAGATCATGTATTGCCCATTGCTGTCTTATCAAAGAAGCATTTTGTGCAATCCCTTAGATTTTTGTATTCTGTATTAATACAGAATCCCCAATTCTGTATTAATCTCTTTTTCTTCCTCCTTCCCATAGAACTGCATGCAATAGCATCAAGGCCATTTCTATTACTGTTTTTTTTCAACTTCTCCACAGTACACCTGTATCATCCTACCTACTAACCTCTATTTCACTGACATCAAGAGTCCCTCTGAATCCTTATATCTGTTGTTCATATTCTCTCTCTCTCTCTCTCTCTCTCTCTCTCTCTCTCTCTCTCTCTCTCTCACACACACACACACACACACACACACACTCTTAATCTTCCTTCAGATATTTTGTTTCTGTTCTTTACCCCCACTCCATCTTCTTGTTTTCACTTCTCTTATTTGCTGCCACCTTTCCTAATTGTGCACCAGCAAAAAAAGTATGGTTTTTATACTCTTCTCTATCAGTTTGTCCCAGTGGGAAGACAGCAGCAGGAGCCTGGAACATTTTGGGGCAAGGTTTGTTACTATTTGAGGATATCTTTTTGTATCACAGCACAAAGTACAGTTCTTTTGTATGTTGACTGTACAAGAGGTATGTGTTTTTAAAATTTGGAACATTCTTTTTAAAATTGTAAGCATCTTGATTGTACCGTATATTCTGTACATTAAACTGTGATTGTTCATTTTGCTACTTCAGGGTGCCACAGTGCAATTTGTAATCACAGAAGAAATATTCCTAATTAAAAAAAAAATTGAGTGGAGGCTGACATATAGGATTGCTCAGTTAGATTTCTTTGTAGCATCAGTTGATGGGCAGCAGATAGAGTAAAGCAAATACTGTGTTTTCAAACATTCCATTTTATTTACCAAATTTTCTACCCAGAAGATTGCTTTTATTATTTGAGTGCTACTAGTATAAGCAGGACAAATAACAATACTATTCTACTTAATAAACTGAGTTGCTTGTATGTGCCCACAGATGGAATTGTTGACTGTTATATTGTTGGCTTTTCCAGAATATATAAAAGAGATACAAGCAGCCAATTTTATATATTTTATTGGCAGGGCTGTTAAGTATGTATTGGAGGGAATAAATATAAATATTTATTCGTATTTCTTGACTGGATTCAAAGTTTTCAGAACTCTTAGTTCTTTGCAACAAAGTTCAGATTGTTTTGATGTCCTTAAAGTTTTTGAGGAGTTTTTAACTGATATAACAAGTATTGAAGTATTGCGTGACTTTTGAAATGGGGTTACAGGTAGTCCTTGTTTAGCGACTGCAATTGGGAGTGGCAACTTGGTCGTTAAACAAAGTGGTTGCTAATTGAAAAATCATGTGACCACAAATGTGCTTACAGTTTTACACATGATAATGTGTACTAACTGACTAATGGTGAACATGTGACTGAGAGATGCTGTGAAGGTCATAAATGCGGACATTGGTTGCAAAGTTACCTTTTCATCATTGTCGTAACTGTGAAGGTTGCTGTCTAAGGTTGCTTATGACTGATAAGCGAGGAATCCCTGTATAATCAGAACATTGCCAGTTATTATTCCTAAGAAACCTCTTTCTTATTCACTTTGCTATACTTGAAGTATTAATGAGGGAGTCAGGAAGATAGCTAGCAAGCAGCGGTATAAAACTTTTGAAAGCAGAATTGCTCAGATCCAATTACTATTACTGTAGGTTTGTTATTAGAAATGTCCAGTATATTAATTGTCTATGTGTGTAAAAGCTTTTAAATAAGGATATGAAAATGTTCTATGAAAGATAATCATAGATAATCTCACAGTTATGACTGATTAATGTGCTCCTACATGAAGGAACGCTATGTATATATTTGAAAAAAAGATTGTGATAAGATTTTTATTGGAAGAAA